AATCAAGATTTTAAATGGTAGATTTCACAGTATGATTTTGATATTCCGACAGTCTAGGATGATTCACTTTTTGAAGTACACATAACTCTCGGATTTAAATCCGAAGTTTCCGCATTTATTTTCCTCTCGGTTCATTCTCTGCATTGTAAAGAAATAGATTAGCTTGTTAAGTGTTTCCATTTTCGTCAAAACAAAACAAAAATACTATTACGATGTCCCGCTACTCTGTCAATGGTGTAGATATCTCGAGGCTTCATATGGTGAGTATCTGGGTCGAAATTCGATCAAAATCGACTTCCAGTACACGATCTGGTTCAACAAGATGAGAAGACTGTAACTCTGTGCGGAAAAGCCAAAGAACAAGTCAGTATGTGCCATTCGGAAGATTCGTTTTGCAAGCATTTTTCTTTAGGTAGAGATTCCGATTATTTCAAAGAAAATTGACTAACAAAAGGAAATAATCAAGCAATCGATAGCTCTCGAACACTTGAAATCATCTATATTAGACTAAAAGTATAGTAACATCCCTTTCCAACACAAAAAGTAATGTCAATAAAATCGGTGGCTATGGCAAAAGCACTAAAAATAACTGCTAACTAATATTTTGCATTATCAAACGTTTCCGAGTTTTCCTCTTAAAATCATTAAAGGTCTTGTATATGTACTTCAAGACGATCGAGGATTTCGTATGAATGTGATGAAACTATAGAAAGGTTCACGATGATATCCCAAAATCATTCAAACTTGAAATCATTTTTATAATCTACCGAAAACATTTGTATGAAATAGTACAATTTTCGATACACAAACAATATATTTTTGTCTCGACACTTAAAAACTTATAGTTTTTGACATTGTTCCGCTAAATATTACTTTCACCCATACCACTTCGTCTATTTTAGTGTGTAATATTGAGATTAGATTTAATCAATAATCATCGTTGGTTATCAGTGAAATATGAGAAAATTATCGTTGCATTGTATCGATGAATTCTTGAGGGTATGTATCATCGCCCTGTTTGCTTGCTAGATGAAGCCTTTACATCAGTGTCCGACATGCGTCAATTTTTCGTGACCCGACCCGATCCGAGGTCAAAGATATTTTCCATCAAGAAAAACGATTTTTTCACAGGTTAACAATCTTTTCAGTGTATCTATATAATCTCTCTCAATATTCGAAACAAGAAACCATTATCTCATCAGAAATTGCCGTTGATCTTATAAAAATTTCGAAATCGGTCAATTGCTAGTGACCTGACCAGAGTCGGACACTGCTTTACATAGCAATTTGTGGCCTTTACACAATACTGTAATAGTTATTTTTTACGAGAAGGAGTATTAAAACATTCGAATTAACGTGTCTCTGCATTTAGTTTGTGTGAGGAAACATGAGCACACAGAAATAAGACAGAGAAAAATTGTCAACAAGTATATTGACATGAAGAATAGAGAATTTTGCAGATTTCTTCAATCGGCCATATTAAAAAGATACAGAATGTGATTTTAATCTTGATTATCTATACAAGGTATTTCTTAGCTTATTTCCATTGCCCACATCACTTTGAAAATAATATGCTATAGTCAAGCAGCTCTATTTAAATAAATTCTACCTTCTATTATAGCACTAGAAAAGTTACAGATGACTAATTCTACTTATCTCAGTTAGTGGAAGGAGTATTAAGGATCTTATTATTCACCAGACAGCTATTTTCTCTGTATCTATTGATGCATCTTTCATTGTTGCATATCAGCAATGGATTCTCTTTTAGAACACTAAAAATGAGGACCATTTATGAAAACTATTAGATGATTCAGCATATTTTGTTTACTGTTAGTTTTTTGAGGAGACAATGCCGTCAAAGTCTCATCACCAAGATTGTGTCACTATTCAATTATATAGACAATGTCTTTTTACATTGCAAAAAATCATGTTCGAGTTTTTTTTATCCTCTTCATTTCATACGCAATCGATATGATTTTGACGATGAGTTAGTCGTTAGTGACGCTACCAGCGTTATGAAATGAAACTAAAGATAATGAATGAAAGATCAAAAACTAGATATGAATATCAATAATGATGGTCAATCGAATCAGTTGATCGAGAAAAATGTGAGAGTTCGATGGAAAAAACCTATATCAATTAGGCTAACTGTTCTAAGCAGATTAGTTTGAAGGAAGTGATGTGGACAATAGAAATCAACTAGAGAATGCAGCCGAATTTTCACGAGTTCATATTAATATTGATAAAAGTGATGTTTTTGCTTTTTATCAGACAATTTAGTCTTAATGTGGCACATCATACTGAATGCTTTTAAATAATTTGAAGGTGTAAGTATATGGGTATAACGTGTGGATTTGGATGATGATACGTATTTTACTTTCACTTCTATTCCCACTTACATGGACGCCCTATTTCAATTAAGAAAAAAAGTGACATATTTATATAAACATTTAATACATGCTCTCCACATTGGTTTCAAAATAGTATATGAAAAACTTCTGCATTTTCTAATTTTTCGATTAAAAGATTCTGATTTATAACATTTCAATCTGGCAATTCTGCAGCAAAAGAAGGTTAGAAGATAAATGCAGAACTCTTCAGATTCGATGAAATCTCATTTATTATTTTTTACATAGTGAGAGAAGAAATATAATTTATCAATTTATAAGTTATAACAAAAAACAGTTATTCGTGAATATTCACCGTGAACCACTAATAGGCTATTTCTTTTGGTTTCTACGTGTAACGATTTCATCAAAATTGGCGACACAAGGTAAATAAACGGCATCGGGAATATCATTGGAGTATATTTCCACCTCATACTTGCTAGGTTTAAGAGTGTACCAGCATCCTCGTTTAAATTTAGCCAAGATGGTATTACTATCAGCTAGAAGCCGTCCAGTCAACCAGTTCACATCGATCTCGCATTTTAACGTGGATCCATCCCAATCAATATCAGTACTATCTCTGTATCATCCAATATAATTTTGAATAGAATTGCCCTCCTTCCACTGTTGAGTTTGACTATCAAACACTTCGAATGTTACTTGGCGCTATGGATCTTCTAATTTGATCGTCAGGTTACCTACGATGTGCTTCGATCGATAGGCAATAAGATCGACACGTTCAGGTTTTGAAAGAAACATATAAGATTCTATTCAATATAAGAGAGCAATCGTTTTTTTTTATTGTAGATCGAAAACTCACCAATTTTGAGTCCAGTAATAATATCTTTTTTCATCACATATGTTCGTTTTGTTGTATGAAGAGAAATGCTGAGATGAACGATACAGAAAAACAAGATTAGTTGTTTCATCGTTATACAGTGTTACGAACGAATAAATTCATGAATAATTCGAAGTATGAAGTGACAGATTATTTTTCTTTAGATTTTGTTATTGCTGTACTAATGCTGACTCATTTGTCCATAAGTATGTATGGAATTACTATTTATTTTCCTTCGAAAATCAACAAATCAATAAATGTATAATGATAAGCATACAGAAAAGAAACGAAGAATATAGATGCTTATCAAGAGTACTTATTATTCCATGTATACGACAGAGATAGTGCCTGAAAATATGTTATTGTGAAATGTAAATGGTCAAAAGCTTTGAAGTATCAAAACATAACTGCCAGAATAAAATGAATATTATCATTGAATTTAACGTACTTGGAAAAGTAGGAAAGTATTGTATTTTAAAAAGCAACATATTCAGTCGACCATCAGTTTCATGAAACTAATTTAAAAGGCTTTATGATAGCTGTTTTTCTTGTACGCAGTATATCTCAGGTTCAGATCTCGACCTTTTTTTTAGGACCAATTCATTCAGGAACATTTTCCCATACTAGATTAATACGTTGCAAGCGCAACTTGACGAACTCGATCAAATGCCAAGATCCTCGATAAACAAACCATAGTGCTTTTGCCTTCGTTTATTGAAAAGAATCGATTTATTATATGAATCAAAACATTTTCTTCGTAACAATAAAATAATAAACATGTTTCTTTAATTTCTAGAATCATTTTTATATAATTTTATTGAAACTTAAAGTTATATGATTAGATAAGATGTTGCACTACAATTAACTATTAAAAAGAGAAGAAACGTTCAAATCTTATTTTCATATCTAAATCAATATGTTCTGGTTGGGCATAAAATTTTTAAGATAAACTAAAAATTAATCTTCACAGCAGAAAAAGGACTATTTTTGATTTCTTAATATTAATACAATAAAAAATTCTTTAAAAACAAATGAAGAATATTTGTAATAAAATCTTCTTAAACTCCTTCTTGAGCAAGTTTATAATCAAATAAACTTCCACGTTCAACAAATGATTGAAATTCTGTTTGTGTAGAATTATTTTCTTCATCATCATTGACTTTTCCATAACCGCCACCACCAGGTGTAAGTACAATAAATGTATCCTAAATTCAAATAAATTATTTCTTTTAATTTAAATTCAATTTTAACACAACTTACACCAGGTTGCATTGATACTGAACATTTTCCACCTAAATTTATTAATCGTCCATCAATACGTTTTAATAAATTCTTTCCACATTGACCATTTTCACCACCATGTAATCCATAAGGTTGATGTACACGTCGTTCAGTTAATATTGATAATGTCATGGAACGACGAAATAATATTCGTCGATCAACACCATCACCACCATGAAATTTTCCGTGACCACCAGATAATGGACGAAGACAAAATTTTTGTAAAACAACAGGAAAACTTCAATGGAAAATTATTAAAAGAAGAAATTGAAATTTCTATTTACCGTTTTTCAAGAATTTCAGGATCAGTTATTCGAGTATTAGTCATATGTGTATGAACACCTGAACGTCCATGCCAGTTGGGTCCCTATGAACAATAAAAAATGTCTTAGTTTAAATCATTTTCAAATATACAAATTACATACAGCACCAGCTCCGCCAGCAATTGTTTCATAATAACTAGTTGCTTTATTATCACCCCAAGTGATATTATTCATACAACCCTAGCAATAATTTATTTGTTTTTTTGTTATGAAAAATCAACTCTTCAATTAAATATTACTTGTGATGCAGCACAAGCACCAAATGCACGAAGAATAACATCGACTAAACGTTGACTAGTTAAAACATTTCCACCTATGAAGAAAAGAAATATTATTTCAATCTTATGATATTTCTCTATACTTACCGACGACTGCAGCATCTTTATGCGGATCAAGAAGTGAACCTGATGGAAGAACAACTTCAATAGGCCTCATACATCCCTAAAAAAAAGAAAAAAGAATATTTTTACACATTATTAAAATAAAAACTAATCTACTTGATTTAATGGTATTTCATGAGCAATCATAGCTCGAAGACAATAAATAATAGCTGAATAAGTAATTGATCGTGGTGCATTCCAATTATACCATACTTGTTCACTTGTACCCGTAAAATCAAATTTAGCTTTAGACTTTATGTAAAAAAAAAAAAGAATTATCTTAAATTAAAAAAATCTTTTCTTTTTAATCTCTTCTTACTTCTTGTCCATTGATATCAATACATAAACAAATTCTTGATCCATCATCCATATAATCAACAGCTTGTAATTTCATTTTATCTTTATTTTTATTCTCTTTTTCAGATAAAGAATGTACCACAGTTTTAAGTAAATCTTTCACAGCTGTTTCAGCATTATCCTAAATATTTTATCAAACATATAAATATATGAAAAACAAAAAAAAAAAACTCTTTAAACAAACTTGAATATATCCCATATAAGCTTGAACTAATTTAAGACTATAAATGTCAATTAATTCTTGAACTAATTTAACACCCTAATGTTAAATTATAATTAATTATTAATAGAAACGAAATATTTTTACTTAGATTACTTTTAAGTTAGCAGCTATTTGTGCTTTTAAATCAGCGATATTATGCATTAATGTACGAGTTCCTGAACAATTTTCTTGTTTTCCTGGTTCATTTAAATGTTCGATAAGTTCTAGAATAAATAGAAACTCTCTAAAATGTATTTAATTCCTTGAATTCTATTCTTACCTTTTTCTTTAAATTGACCTTGTTCAACAATTTTAAATGAAAGAAATTGTGCACCTTCTTGAAGTAAAGATGTTGAATTCGGAGGCATCGAACCCGGAGTTAAACCACCAATATCAGCATGATGACCACGACTTGCAACGAAAAATACTGGCTTCTCTTTATCACATTCATGAAATACCTAAAGATAAATAATTAATTCATATTTATAATACTTTAAAACATTGATCATACTGGTGTAATAACAGTTAAATCTGGTAAATGACTTCCTAAAAAAATATTTATTAATTAAATAAATCCTTTTTCCTTTTTTTTCTTTCTTATTACCTCCAGCTGATGGATGATTACTCAAAATTACATCTCCATCACGAAGATCTTTACCGATAGTACGCATCTACAAATCAAAAAATAAAAATCTTATAATTATATATATATATGTTTTCTTTTTACTTGATATTGTACGGCTTCTTGCATAGCTCCTAGATGTACTGGTATATGAGGAGCATTGGCAACTAAACCACCATCAGGTCCAAAGACAGCACAACTAAAATCTAAACGTTCTTTGATATTTGTCGAAATAGCAGTTAATTGAAGAACACTAAATAATAAAAATAAAAAAAAAAGGCTCTTTAAATCATTGATAACAAATATATCTTACCGACCACATTGTTCTGCAATACTCATAAAACGATTTTGAAATATTGATAGTCTAATAAGATCAAGTTCAGTCGAATCAGTATCCTCCTTAACATGTTTAATTGCTATACGAATATCACCACAATCTGTTACTGTAGCTTCGCAATTTGATTCAACAACTATGGTACTATTATTAGAAATAAAATTATATATTTTCAAGAGAATATTTTCATGTGAAAAGCAAATTTACCAACTAGGATCAATAATAATTGCTGGACCGGATATATGATCATTAGCATATAATTCTTCAATAAGATAAACAGGTGTTTCAACAAAGCCTTGTTCGAAATAACATTTTACTTTCTAGCACACAAAAAAAAGTAAAAATTTTAAGAAATTGACATCAAAGGACGCTGTCAGATAAGACAAGCACCGTTCATTTAAAAACCGTTTATATTATTTTGTAGAGCAACTCGTGGATAATATGACCAAATATCATGATAATTCTTCGATACTACTTCTTATAACCAAGACGACCAAACATGTAACTTTCTCATAAATTGACTATCATCAAGCCCTATACATATATATGTTCCTATTGATTGCTTTCTGAACTGGAGTGTGTCATAGTCAGATTCGTTAATCAATACCTAAAATACACCAAGTTTTCGATTCCTAAGGACAAGTTCAGTTGTGTGATAAATACTTTTTGAGTGAAAAACTTTCTATCTATGAATAATAAGTTCATCATGTTCTACCATTTACACCTGTGGATTTTTCGAAAATAACAAAAAAAAAATTTATCGTTCAGATCCATAGACAGGATGCGGGAATGGACTATGACAAAGATTAGTTGTATTTTCTTTTTTTTTTGTTTATGAATTTAGATTCTGAGGTGTTGGATATGATTAAAGTATGGGCTCTAGTAGATTCAATACGGATTCGGTCTTTTTGGAAAGTTAAAAATTTTGCATATTCTCGTATCCTCTCTAAAGATCCCAATGCAAAAAATATTTTTCTCATTTTCGAAAGGTTGATATATATTAAATGATAGGGCATGATGAACGTATTATTAATATATAAAAATTTTTGCACTTGAAAAGGATTTATCGCACTACTGATATACTTTTTTTTCGTCCCTTGGTATTGAAAAATTGACATTTTTTCAACTTTTGATTAATCAATTTTTCTAGAACTTAATTCAATTTAAAGTCCAATCATTTGAAATATTTCCAGATTATATGAAAGCTAAAAATCGTAGAAGCTAAGAAAATACTAAGGTTTTCTGTAGCAACCATTGAAGATTAGATAATATTTTATATAGATTGCTTTGAGAACATACTGAATCATAATATTTGGTCATTATTATCCACAATTGCTATCGTATCTCTTAACTAGTAAATGGTTTTTCAGTCATCTTATTCGACAGATTCCTTGAATATTGTTTTACTTTTAATTCTTTGAAAGGTTTATCTTTTGATCGATTATCAATTTTTCGATTAATATTCATTGCTGATTTTGCTAATGCACGAATTCGAATATCATCAACAATAATTGGACGATCCGGAATAATAAAACCAAATTGTTCTTTATATTTTTTAAGAAAAACATCAGTAAATGATTCAGCTTTATCTTCATTGCTTGTACACATAAGTGCACAATCCGTTCCTTCATATCGTAGATTTAAATATTTTTCTACAATAATAGATTTCCTAAAAAACAAAAACAAAAACAAAATAAATACAATTTCAATTTGTAAATTCTATATAACTAACCGATCATATCCTTGTTGAACAAGTTCATCTGTTCCATATGTTGAAAGATATTTTAATCGATCGAGAATATTTGACCAATTATCAACATTGATTATTCTTCCAGATGGTTCTTGCATTTCATGAACAACATCAGCTAATGCTAAACCCAAAGCTGAAAGAACACCAGCAAAACTATATTACGAAAAAATTAAAATAAATAAAATACTGTTAGCAAAAATAAATTGAACTAACCGAGTAATATACACAGTTTTCATGCCTAAAGCACGTGCAATCTAAACACAAATATTCTTATAAATTAAAAAAAAGAATAGTTCTGGGCATACTGCACAAGCATGTTGACCACCAGCACCACCAAAACATGCTAAAACATGATCACGAATATCAAAGCCTTTTCCCTAAAAGCAATTTTTTTTCTATTAAGAAAACAAACAAAAAAATCTATTTCAATTGATTTACTTCAGTTAATGCTCGAATAGGACGACTCATACTTTCATTAGCAACATGAATAAAACCCAAAGCTATTTCTTCAATACTTAATGTTTTCTTTTGATTTTCTTTCAAAAATGAATTTATCTATACAAATAAATTTAACTATCAAATAATAATAATAATATAAACAAAAAACTATACTGTTGTCGCTAATTCTTTAAATTTAGTTAATGATGCTTCAGAATCTAATGGTTCATTTCCATTTGGGCCAAATAATGCTGGAAAATGTTCTGCTATTAAACGACCTAAGATTAAATTGGCATCAGTAACAGTTAATGGTCCACCTTAAATGTATTAAAACAAAATAACATAAGTTCATATGTAAATGTATAAAAAATGAAACCTTTTTTATAACATGCTGGACCAGGTTGTGCACCTGCTGACTCTGGACCAACTCGAAATAGACCTGAACGAAAGCTTAATGTACTTCCACCACCAGCAGCTACTGTATTAATATCTAATTGTGGTGCTTGAATAGTTACAGATGCAATTGTACTTTCAAGTACATGTTCAAGTGAACCATCAAATCGACTAACATCTGTTGATGTTCCACCCATATCAAAACCAATAACTGGTTGTGAATCTATATAACTTGTTACTGAATATCCAATCACACCACCTATTGGTTTTGGTTTTTTTTTAAATAAACAATTAATATTTAAATACGAAAAAAAAACGACTAAACTACCTGCAGGTCCAGAAAGAATAGCACGTGATCCAGAAAATCTAATAAAATTCTTTTATTCATTAGAAAGAATAATAATTTTTTTTTTGTTTTGCTCATTCATACTTCTCAACTGGTGTTAAACCACCGTCTGATTGCATGAATAGAACATTAAGTTCATTAAGTTTATCTTTTTCAAATGCATTTGTAAATGTATCAATATATCGTTTTAAACATGGAGTTAAATAAGCATCAGTACAAGCTATAAGAAAATAAATATGACATTAATTAAATTGTATTTAAGATTAAAAAAAACCTGTATGAGCTCTTGGTACATATTTTTGCATGGCAATTATTTGATGTGATAGAGATATATTTGTAAAACCCATATCACGTGCTATTTCACCAACATGTAATTCATGATCGGGAAAACTATTTATATTTAAATATCTAGAGATTTGTATTGAAATTAAAAAAAACTTACCAATATGAATGAAGAAGTGCTACAGCTATTGATAAAATACCTTTTTCTTTAATTTTAATTAAATCTTTACGTAATTGTTCTTCATCAACTGCTTTCCAGATTTCAATCTATGATATAAAATAGTGAACAATCATCAACATCACATTTTATGGCATACGAAAAGATGTACCGGACATATTTTAAATCCTTTTAATTAATTCAATAAATATTAAAATGATAAAACTTTGATAAGAGTTGTTTGTTATGATATGTGACGAAACTAGAAATGTGCACGACAAATTTTAGTTTCGATCATCAGAATCACAACTACAAGAAGAAATATATTCCAATCAGAAATAAAAATTATATTTAAATTTTCTATTATTTAAAGTAAATTATCTTATTATTCATCAACTAAATAAATAAATAAAAAACGCGTAATGAAGAATCTTTTCATATGGAACACGAATAAACTCCTGAAGCGGAGTTCTAAGGTACAGAATATGTGGTGACGGTAGAACCAAAACAAACTACGGAAGCAAGTTCATCAAGTCTTAATTTCATTAAATGTACATTTATCGTATGCTTTTAATATTGGTCTTTGTTCAAAAAATTCATGAATTTTTTTACCGTACAATGCAAGATCAAGAGAAAGATGCGCATCAAAGACAAAAATGTGATCTTGTATTGCTGTCACATATTATAGCAAACAATTCTTATCAAATTATAGAAAGAGAAAGTTTCTGTAAGCTATTAGGAGTTAAATTACTTTTGTCATATCCTAAATATTTCAAATACCTTTTCTCCTGTTGTTGTTGTTTTTTGTTGAATTTCTCCTCGTATTTCATCAGTTAATTTACAATCATCACGAGAAAGTACAACTCTTTCATGTACTTCAATTACTTCTTCATAAATAACATTAGGTATACGAACTGCCTACGTTAGAAAAAAAAAAAATTTTTTTAACATTCTTATGTTAAAATCATACTAAATCAAATAATTTAGGTCGTGATTGATTTCCAATATGAAGTAAATCACGAAAACCATTTGTTACAAGTAATGCAACACGTTCACCTTTTCGTTCAAGTAATGCATTTGTTGCTACTGTTGTACCCATACGAATCCAATCAATATCAGTTGGATTAAGTGGAAAACAATCCTAGATGAAAAATAAAATAATAGATTTTTCAAAACATTGAAAAATATAACTTGTTTTATTAATCGACGTATTGCTTCTGTTGGTGCATCTTTATATTTTCCTGGATCTTCAGATAATAATTTCATTGTAACAATTTTACCATCTGATGTACGAGCTACAACATCAGTAAATGTTCCACCTCGATCAATAGCGACTTGTAGACGTCCCATTATTTTATGCTTCTATCTAAAATAAAGTTCGTTTTTTTTTAATTATTTTCAAAACAAAAAAATAAATGAAATTGTAAAATTGAGAAAACGAAAGGGGTAAATGAGGACACTTGATATTTCTCCTTCGTCATAATAAAAGCGACAAGATAAGAAAAGAAAAAAAAAACAGAAAGATTTTTCTATATCGAGCTATCACGCATGACGCAATAAAAGGAAGTCAACTAATGACATATACAGTGTCGTAGAAGGCCATGCAAAAAATTTGCATATGCATCTCTTGTACAAATCAAGCAATTTAATTGCTGTTTTCTTTTTTACAATATAGTAGTATTTTTTTTTCAAGTCCTATTTCATATAATTTGGTTTACAATAAATGCTCGAAAAGATAATTTTATATTTATTGATAAACAATTTAAATGAAAAGATACTTCGTTCGAAAAAATGATTAGCATAATTTCTGCAGAATAAAAATCTGAAAATAAATGTAGTTGCTTTTGATAATCACAGGAAGATTGTTCCCTTCCATTTATTTTCAAACATATTTCTTCACCATTCTTTTACTTAATCCTTCATAAATGCAATAAGGAAGTAGTTCATATATTAGAACAAGACGGTATTCATATACAGTCTTTGATCAGCTTTGAATGACTTACATCTTATATGACTTCATTAGAAAATATTCATCCACAATTCGGTTTACTAGTATTCGTAGAATGAAGCAAACTGTTGCAACAAGCTGAACACTGGTATGATGAATCCGATTTGTATTCTTTCTTTTACAATGATAGGGCCACTTAAATTTGACTACTAACAAAGCTATTTTTATTCGAATATTTTTGCAAAATAAAAATGCATATATCTCTAGTTTTTGAAATTTCTGTTAGCTAATTTTTTTTGTAAGAAATGTATGTTGAATTACTCTAGATAAAAGGAAAACCTAAGCCTTATAGACCTTTGTTTCAGTGAGTAATTATTGAAAAATCACCATTAGCAAAGTGACACAAAAAAGCTTGTTAGCGCAGCCCCTTTGGGGCTAAAATGTGGAACTCACATATGTTCTTCAGCTTCGTTATATTAATACGAAATACAGAAGATGTAAAATCAAGAATTTTTTATTTTTCATTTTCTGACGGGCGCTCTATTTTTCGTTTTCATTGTTACTATTCACTCATTATTTTTTTTTCGTATTTTTTTTTGCATTATTTTTTTAAATTTAATTCTATTATCATTGCAATCATTTATTCAACCGGTAAATATGCCTCTTACACATATACATTTAACCTACAGCAAGCATTAATGAACTATTATATATCTCGATCAAGTCACAACACTAGCACTGAGTGAGTTTTTTCAAATTAATAACTTGATCAATCGGTGATTTCTTATGATCGTTGACGTCTTAAATACATTTTTATGTGGACAAAAATC